ATAGGCTCCTATTACCCCCCACCCCCGTCCCGATTTTTCACATTTGCTGTCTGGTCACCCTAGTTGTGGGATGCTCAACATCTTTGAAAATCAGGCCAGAAGTCTTAAGGAAATTAGAAGAAAATTCATTCAGTTCCCCATCACCACCACTGTTCCACTGAGTACAGTAAGAAGGCGATGTCAGTTGCTTAAAGTATCTCCGCATAGACCCTCATTCACGAAAAGTCAGGTATGTTTTACAAAGGGAAAAATTCCCTGTGCTAAGAAAAGTGGAGTTCAGAGGGGCAACCCTGGGAAGTTGCTCCCCTGGGAATGTTGTTTGCACTACAAAAACAACCCTGTCCAAACACAGTTGTGAAATATGGCTGTCACCCAAATGTATATAAATGCATTCTTGCCTGGGTGGTGTAATCATGTTTTAAGGGCCTGTATTCCAAGTCTAACTGTGCCAGTGCTGTGCCTAGAAATACATGTTCTCAAATGTCTTATCCGCACCACAAACTCTGTGATGGAATCATGTTCCGAAATCATTGCAGCCTAAGTAAATCAACAGCACAAAGGTCCCGCTTTTCAGAAAGAGCTTCTATTTAGATCTTCAGAGGAGCTCAGCACATTGGATGCATGGTGCATTCTGAACTCTTGGAAAACGTGGCCACAAGGGTCACAGTGGGAGCTACGGGGGGGGCGAGTACTTGAAAATCTGGCCCTAGCTGCTAGATAACGATATGCTTTGTTTTCCATCCCCACTACTTTCCTTGCCTTTATCACAGTTAGGTGACAGCTATGATGTTTCACAACCATGTGTTTTTAAAAGAGGTTTTATGTTTGCGGCATAGGCAGAGCTTTGTTGTGACCTCTGTCTCTGGTGTTCAGAATCTCAACTGGCTCATTACCTACAGCTGTGTTTAAACATAGAGGTCTTGCCCACCTAGGTCCTCCCCACCCAGAAATGTGCATTGATTTGTCCTTATCGTTGGCAGCTAACAAGTTGCTGCTGGTATTATAACCATCATGGACAGACCAGGCCTAAACACTAGGGCTTGAAGTAGGCCAGATTGTCTGGGGTAGATAAAAATCAGATAAAGTTTGTTTCCAAGCAACAATAGTACAGAAGATTATGTGCGGATACAAAGTGACAACATAATGCATGGTGGGTTGCTGTCCCTTTAAAGAACTATGGAAAAAGTTGATTTGATTTCCTTTACATGTAGGTGGTCAGCCTGTGTAGGTACCTTGGCCTGTTGAGGCTGGGCTTTGACTGTGGTTTGAAAACCAATTGTTAATCTTTATTTAAACATGGTTCCAGCAAAACTGGTTTGAAATCTGGTTTGACTGGCTGGGATAAGCAGAGCCACACACTGTCTGAAAACACAAGTCTGAACTTGTTTCCTGCCAGACTGGTTTTAAATCTAGTTTGACTCATTGGTGTGTACAAACCCCGTTTTTAAAAATGTATTTATTAAATAACCTAACCCATTTTCCAGCCAAACCCACATCTGAAACTGGTTTAGCTGGAATGGTTTTGAAACCAAATTAAAACTGCTGATTTCAATTATTATTTTAAAATAATGACATTTTTGCTGTACGTTTGGCAAACATGTAGGACACTGCCCTGAACAGGTTACAATCTAAGGTGAGCATCCTGAAACTGGGTCAGAGGGGGGGCCAGACTCCTGTTCCCACACAGATTCCCATTGGTATCAGTGGGAATTTGCTTGGTGTTAGGGTTCGTGTGCCACTGGAGTATAGACTCTTCCTAAATCAATGGAAGGAGTTTCTCTGCTGATTGTAGGTAATTCACCTGGCGGTAGCTAGGTCAACAGAAGAATCCTTCCAGCAATTTAGCGGCGGCTCGACTGGAGAAAAAAGTTGACCTAACTATGGCGTTGAGGGTGCAAAATATTTCACTGCCCTGAGTGATGCAGCTAGAGTGACCTATATTTTAGGTGTTGATCAGGCCTCAGTTAGATAAGGCCAACCCACAAGGTGACAACTGGACAATAGCATGTACCTGAGACGGTGCAGGAGTATTGCTGATGAGAGAGGCAGGAAGGTTGCTGGAAGAGCTGAGGATTAAGGAGGGATATAGCAGAGAAGGTTTAGCAGGTCTGAACTGAGAAACGGTGTCATCACATAGTTTGGCTAGTTGGTGAGGAAGCGGGAGGACAAAAACCAAAACTTGTCCACCATGATCAGGGAAACAGTTGTAAGACCACTGTTAGCATCAACTTTATTAAAACATACATTTGTCGCTAGCACAGTTCTGATCCCACGGTGGGTTGAGTTTTGAGTGCAAGACCTATTGCTCTTCCCATGGTAAAGAGCAACAGAGCCCAGCACTGAAGACAGCTAATGGTGAAGACACCATCAAGATAGCTTTCAATGATTTTGAACACCACAAATACTACAGAGAAAAGTCCTTATCTAAAATGTGGGTTTTAAATATTTCCTTTCTCCCAACCTTTGTCTTTTTTTGTCTAGTTAGTTTGTAAACTGTGCAGCAGGAACTGTCTTGCAGGGCTGGTCTACACTAGAAAAGTTACATTAGTAAAATGATGCCAGTTAGGAATATGATTTTTTTATCCAATATATTTATACCAGTATAAGCCCTAGTGGGATTGCCGTTATATTGGTATAAAAGTGCCTTTTACTGGTATAGCATATTTTGCTTTCCAAACTGGAATAAACTTTAGGCACTTTTTATATTGATATAACTACGTCCACTTGGGGGATAGGAGGGAGGGAGGGAGGAGAGAGGATGTTGCTGCTTTAACTACACCAATATAGTTAAAGCAGCAAAACTCTCTAGTATAGGTGTGCCCGTACATTGTGTGGGCGTTAGGCTATACAGTCACAAAGGGGGTCCTGAACCTGATCCTCGTGGGGGCCTCTAGGTATTGCAGTAATATAAATAACCTCATCCCGCGCTATCCTTACTCCTATCTCACTTGCATCCATGTGCTTCTCTAAGCGTCACTGATTAAAAAAAATAGTCCTTTAAATGACTTTAATCTCTTGGTTTATTTCAAAGCCTACAAGGACAAATCTGGTTTGTAGCAAGAGATTTGCCTGATTCCTTGTACCCACTGATGAATGCAATGGTAGATGGGTGGGGGAGGGTAGGACGCTGCTATTACTTTGTTCCACCTTCAGGCTAGCTTGACACTCAATTGGGTGAACACTGATAATTTTTACGAGGATCCCAAAGCTTTCTGAAGCTAGGGCAAGCACCAAACTTAGGTTTGTACAAAACTACAGGAGATCAATTTTTTAAAATAAACTTGTTCTAAACAGAAACAAGATTTTAAAACGTTCCCCCCATCCTGATTTGTTGTGTGAATGTTGCTGTGTGCTGTTTAATTATCGTAGTGTTACACTTCAGAAATGGCTGCATTTCAGTGGCAGGCAAAGAACGTATCTCCTGATCCTATAATGGTCTGATTCCACACAAACACGCACACATTCTGCAGTGGAGGCCTCATGCAGCTCTGATTGCATAGAAAATGTGTTGTTGTTTTTTTACATCAATTTGAACAAGAAAAATATAAAAACACTTTTGAATTGCCCCACCTGGTGCTTCAAATCCTCTCTGCTGAGAATGCCAATACGAGGTGTTAGGGATAATAATGTCTGATGTGATACTTACACACAGGGAACTTGACTCAATGGAGTATTTACTCTGGAGCCTTTGAAATATCAGTCAATTTGTTAACTCTCAGTGGCTGATCAAAGCAGGCAAGGAAGGAGAGAAGGCCTGAAGTTGTATTAGGTTGGGTTCCTAAAAAAAATGAAACCCCAAATAACTAATCACGGTTGAAAATGTTGGATTTAATATTATTCTTAATGCAAGTTTAGATTCTGGAGCAGTCATTGGGGAAAAGACCAACTCTTCACATATGCCAGCCTAATCCACCCATAGTGCATAACACCAGGTACCTCACAGGGATGTCTGAGAAGCTTAGTTGAATGAAGAATATTTGTTAAATGCTCTGAGACCCTCCCAGAAAACGCTGCTTTTGCCCAAGCTGTGTATCACAGCCATCTCTGTAACATCTAAATGCCTTTCCCCATGGAGAGGATTATCATTTATTTAAATGTATGCAAATACTAAAAAGCACCTCTGTCCATATGCTCCTGGCATCCTTGACATTAGTTGAAAATTAATAAGCACAGTTCAGGAGTCCAGAGCAAAATAATCCACTACCAGCAAGTCCAACAACTCAGAAAAAAAGCCTATAGAGTTGCTAGTACAGAAGACTGGGAGTCAATTTCATATAATGGTACCTTGTATAAAGCAGTGATTCGCAACAGATACCCCTGGGGGAACACAGAGGTCTTCTGGAGGTAAAGCAACTCATCTAGATAGTTGCCTAGTTTTACAACAGGCTACATAAAAAGCCCTACATAAAAAATACAAACTAAAGTTTCATACAAACAATGACTTGTTTATCCTGTTCTGTATACTATACACTGAAACGTAAGTATAATATTTATATTCCAACTGATTTATTTTGTCATTATAGGGTAAAAAGAGAACGCCAGCAATGTTGCAGTACTAGTGTGCTGTGGCACTTTAGTTTTATGTCTGGTTTTGAAGTGTAACTTGGGGGTACACAAGACAAATCGGACTGCTGGAAGGGGTGCAGTCGTCTGGAAAGGGTGAGAGCCGCTAGTATAACTATAAAGGGCTTAATAACAATGCAAACGCCAGCGGGGTGACGCTGCGGTGCCAAGGCATTCCACGTGCCAGTCTTTTCCCTCCTCCTGCAGCCCCCCTACCAGGACAGACCCTAAAAATAGCCCCCCTGGAGCTCCCCCATCCCAGCTGCTATTGTTAGGCTTGCAGAGAGCCTGACTTTCCCAGCACCCACGTCACTCCTTCCACCCTGCTGAGGTCACACCATATTAGCATAGCAAAGCAGAGCCCCAGCCAATCAGAGGCCTGGCAGCTGCTGACGCCTGTCGGGGAAGGGGTATAAAGGATCCGGCTTCGCTGCTTCCCCTCTAAAATCAGCCCGGAGCGGCCGGTGAATCGCTCCCCTCCTACACCAGAGCCTTAAAGGGGCCGCGCCGCCCTCAGAGCCCAACCATGAGCCAACGCTGGAGCGGAGTCAGCAGCCGGGCGGACATGGTGCCCGAGATCGCCGCCGCCGTGGGCTTCGTGTCCAGCCTGCTCCGGACCCGGGGCTGTGTCAGCGAGCATCAGCTGCATGTCTTCAGCGGGGCCCTGCAGGAGGCGCTCACAGGTGAGGTGGGGGGAGGATACACGCATGTTGCACCCCTAGAGAGAGTGGGGGGCACCCCATTGGGTGCTTGGGGCTTCCCCTCTTGTGCCCTATTGTGTGTGTGGGGACCTTGTATCCTAGTGGGGTGGGGGCTTATCCACCATATCTCCAACCTTTAGGGCCCCATTCTCCCTGGTTTCAGAGTAGCAGCCGTGTTAGTCTCTAAAGGTGCCACAAGTACTCCTGTTCTTTTTACTGATACAGACTAACAAATTTATTTGAGCATAAGCTTTCATGGGTGTTCATTCTGTGCCACGTAAGCTTACAGTGCTAGGAATTGACTGTCCATTTGCTTTTTCACACCCCTCCCTTCCCCCCCCCTCCCCCCTTCAGCCTGTGTAAAGGTGTAACAATACAGGGATTACTACTGCTACCTCTTTTTGAGAGAAATTAATGAGTGTCCTAACCTGGAACAGTTAAACTCATCTGTGACATGGGTGTTGTCACCTTGGCACAAATACAGTTCTTAACACAAAACACAGTCCTTCTCCCCACCATCTGTGTCCCTATAACACAAGAAACTTCTTTAGTTGGGAGGGGGGGAAGCTGCATCCTTACATCAGGAGAAGGCAGGTCTGGAAGTGCCTCCTTGCTTTGCTGGGACTGGGGTAAGGGGATCAGATGGAAACAGGTTCTTGATCTTTCTGCTGCTGGGAGTTGGAGCCCCTTCGTTTCAGCCACTGGGGTCTAGCATCTTGTTTAGTTATATTGGGTTTGCTCTGAAGTCCGCAGTAGTAAACTGAAAGGGACCCTTTGATTTGAGGGGCTTTGGATCAGGCCAACTTTGTGGGGAGGGGAGACATTTCCTCACTTTGCTCTGGGCTATGAGACATTAGGGCTCAGCTCTAGTTCCAGTTGAACATCGATGTGGCTTCAATTTGTTGCTAACCACCCCCTATAGAAGTTTGTTCCCCTCTAGTCTTTGTTGCACACTGCTGATGTTGGATTAGATGATATCTCCTAGAGTAAGACATGTGGGTTCGTGTTTTATTATCCTGATGTGGGAGCTGGCTTTGGGGTTTATCAAAACTAAATTCATGACACTACTTGTGGAGGAACTAGGGTGACCAGATGTCCTGATTTTATAGGGACAGTCCTGATATTTGGGGCTTTTTCTTATATAGGTACCTATTACCCCACCCCCTGTCCTGATTTTTTTTTTCCCCCACACTTTCTATCTGGTCACTCTAGGAGGAACTAAGAGCTAAGATCAAAGTATAGTGTCTGTTCTTATCAGTTTAATATCTAATATGTCCTTTATTTGAGGACTGTATATTAAATTGATTTTTGAAACAGGGGGATGGAATAGGAGCTTGCTCTGTCCACCCCATGCATTGACCTGGTATTGCAGTGTCTCCAGGACCAGGGAAAAAACCAAACAAAAAAACCAAACCCTAAACATTGCTTGTGTACCCTGGTGTTTGAGTTTGGTAATACTGCCCCAGCCCTACCAAGCCAAAGCTTTGCATGCATATGGACTGGCCTCCAAGGCAGGCAGTTACTGTACTGCCACACAATCACAAATCAGGAGATGGAAAATATCTGCTGGGTCCCGTTTCGTGTAGTCAGTCGTAGTTTCATTCCCTATAGTAGTAGAGCAGACTGACAGGACTGGTCTAGTTAAGGTTAAAATAAGATCATTCTACTGATACCTGAAGAATCCTAGCTCTAAATGTAAGAGCAAACCGCTCACGTGTAAACATGTGAGGTACTTAAGAGGGGCCTCCACATTTTTTGGGGAGACTATTTTATAGGCAGGGTGTTCTGCAAGTGCTTGTTATCCAGTTAGCTCCAGCAGGGTGTGCATGTCCACTTAGAAATTTCTTCTCTTCTTACAGAGCATTACAAACATCATTGGTTTCCCGAGAAACCCTTCAAAGGTTCTGGGTATCGCTGCATCCGAATCAATCACAAAATGGACCCCATTATCAGCAAAGCAGCTAGCCAGATCGGACTCAACCTCCAGCAGCTCTATCAGCTCCTGCCCAGTGAACTCACGCTCTGGGTGGACCCGTATGAAGTGTCTTACCGGATCGGTGAAGATGGCTCCATCTGTGTTTTGTATGAAGCAGCAGCGGCAACACCTGTGAGCTCCTATGGGATGCTCACCTGTAAAAACCAGATGATGTTGGGTCGCACGAGCCCTTCCAAAAACTACATGATGACTGTCTCCAGCTAAATGCTCCTATTGTTCTTACATCGCTAAGACATGGGCTACTGTATACCTCACTGGAGGATCTATTTTTGAATGAAGAGCTATTTATATTTTTTAAAAAAAGCAAGAAAATCCCAAATGAAATTTAAATATCAGACACTGCTCTGTAGCGAAGCAGTGTTAGGTGCCTTTTTTCTTTTTTAAAGCTGTTGCAAGCTTATGAGTTTTTATTATGAAGCCAATATCTACCTAGTTAGTGTTGAATGACAATTTGGGCGGGCGGGCTTGCCTGTCTGGGCAGCTTGGGGTGGAGGAGCCGAAGGGGGTAGGGGGAAATACAGCATTTCTAAAGAGTATTTTTAACTATGACGTAAGCGCTGAGCAACTGTGAATGAAAAGGCTAGAATACCTAGCGAGTGGGGCTTTTAAAGATAGTTGACTGGAGTGTCATGACCCACTGAGAAGTCTATTCTGGCCTTGATTGTCAATTTAAAAAAAAAATCGCCTACTCCATTACACTGATAAGGGGTTGCAATTTCATCACCTCTCTGCCCCCATTTCCCCCAACAAGCCTGAGCAATTTGTGGCCTAAAGTTTCTGATCCTTAATCAGTTTTGACTGAGCCCAATGTTCAGGATTTGGCCCTGAAACTGGTTGGTAGTTCCCAACGCACATTTGTAATTCGCCGAAGTGCCAGACCAATGTGAATTGATCTACCTGCTGGGGAACACGTCTTTACCAGGACTTTCTGTTCACTGCCTTTTTACTGACCAACTGTCGCCCCTGCCAGTGACCCTATAAGAGGTGATTAAAAACACAAGGCACTTAAGACTCTTTATTTTTAATGAAACTTCCTCAGATTAGTTTCAAAGCACATTGGGTATTTTTTGCCTTCCTGTTTTGAACTGGCAAGTGATTTGCATAACTAGAGCTGTTCCTTCCCAGCCTTTTATGACTCAAGTTCTCAGACACTGTGCAATATATTTCCAGATCTTGGGCACTCTGGAAAAGGAAGGGGATTCCTCTTTGCCACAGTTCTTTTTCCCCCCCACCCCAACCTTTTAAAAATAAGATAATTAACTATTTTTGATCGCTTCCCATGTGCAAACTTGGGTTCAGGCTTTTGTAGGGTTTTTGCCAGTATTTGAACTCCTGAACTGGAAAACTTCCCTTCATACTGGGCATATCATTTAAAGGGCCCAATGGCCTGTGCTTATCCCCCACACAGTTTAATCATCACTAAAGAGATCTGACTTGTAAAGCTGAAGTTGCATCACACCAGCTGTAACTTCTCCGTCAGCAAAGCAGAAGTTAGAATGAAGCGCTCTAGAGCCTTTTGTGAGCTGAATTGTGCAATATTTTGTATCACAATGAAGGGAAATACATGGAAGCTTCTGTACTGTAAATTTCCCTTCCAAGAAAAGTCTCAGTTCAAAGTGCTGTGTGGGATCCTTCTGTCTTATCTGATGTCTTGATGAAAACATATGAGTGAACTATAAAGTTCCCAGAACAAACAACATTTGCTTTTCTACACTCCCTATACTTGGAATTTCCCCAATACTGGTACTTGGTTTGTTCATCAATGTGGTGTGATGAATGCAAATCTTCTCTATATGCTCCACTCCCTCCCTCCTACTAAAAATAGTGCTTTTGAAAAAACCAAATTCCTACACTACCGTTGTTCCAATCATGCCCCTTCTTTTCTATTTCCTTTTTTTTTTTTTAAGAAAATCCTACCAAATTTCATGCTGTTAACTCTGTGCCAGGGATTAGTATTAAGTTTTGTTTGCTTTAAAACCAACCTAATTCAGACAGAATCTTTTTTTTTTTTTTTTTTGTAGCTTGTTACATGTATAAGCTGTGAACTGAAGCGTGTTCTCTGTTGTCTTCTCAAGCCTGTTGCAGAGCTGAAGAATTGTATCTTAGTGTCTGTTGGGTTTTCTCCTTTCTATTTTTTTTTTTTTTTTTTAAACTTGAGCTGGACTGTTGAGCGGGACCTGCTTTGTATTTGGTGAAAATGGTAGGAAGTTTGTAAGCTATCTTTTGGGAAAGGGGAGGGAATAATACTAATTGTACAGTAGTGTTTTTATATACAAAATGTACAGATACACTCTCAAATGTACACTTTTGTTACTTTAATAAAAATGTAGCAATTCAAAAGAACTACGTTGTGCTGAGAAACTCATCTGTGCTGGTGGATTGTTCGCAAAAGGGCATTATGGTCTCCCCTAAATATTGAGTTCCAAAGACTCTGCACAGACTTAAAATCCACACTTGAAAAAGATCTGGATCAAAAGAGCTTCACACTCAATGATCTTAATAAAACCAAACAAACCACAAAAATAAAAAATCTCCTAGGAAAAAGGACCAGGGCTGACCCACAGCCTGTTGAAGTCAGTGAAAAGATATCAGAGAGGTTTTGAATTGGGCACCAGTTCCCATCCAGAGTGCGCTGTGTTGCCAACTGGGTGTCCTTCCATTGCTGGAGGAAAGGGGTCATAAAGAACATAGAGGTTCAGGAAGCTATTCCACCTCCATTTTGATACTTGCACTGTGGTTAAAAATATGGAATTATAGAATGAGATGAAGTGTCCTCTTAGGTCTGTCCCCCTGCCACTGAGAAATGTCTAATGATGGCCCTTTGTTAGCATTGCAGTGGAGGATCCCAAATTACATGGTGCCCACAGAGCACCTGAGCAATCCCAGTAAACAATGTTCCATAAACCAGTATCCCTAAAGCTCGCTGTCATCCTTCCAAATGGACAAGCCAGTAGACACTTTCTGACCGAAGTCCTAGAGAGATCATTGGCCGGAAAAGCCATTGATCCAGTCACTCCAGTCTGTCGAAGCAGCTGTAATGAAAATGGCAGCTAGAGTTGATTCAGTGCTGAAGGCTACCTTGGTCTGACTTCTCTCCAATATATACTGTCCATTCATTCACCTTTTGAGAGGTGGGTCTTCAGTGCATCATTCCCAAGGAATGGCTCCTGTAAGGAACTGTAAACTGTATTTAGGGAGGAGAGTCAAGCTGGAATGTTGAAGAGGCTGTTTGTGGTGTGGTTAAAATTGCCCCTGTTTTAGGACTGAATCTGAAGCCCATTTAAATCAATTAAGACACTCCCATTGACTTTGATCTCCAACCCACTGACGTCTCGAACATCAATGGGCTTTGAATGGGATCCTGTCATTACTCGTATTGTGGTAACACCTAGGACTACAGGTCATGAACCCCCATCCCATTGTGCTAGGTGTACAAACAGATAAAAAGATCATTGTTGCCCTTAAAAATCTAAGGTAATGACAAAGGACCAACGCACAAGGAGATAACTTCGGTATGATGGATGCCAAGAGTTAGGTCAGCATAGGTGCTATGACATACTGCTTCACTTGAAAGTCCCCCTTCAATAAACACTTACACCATATCTACACAACAGGCACTGTTGTGCCATAGCTCTGCTGCTGTAACGGTGGAGCCTAGGCTAGGGTGACTAGACAGCAAGTGTGAAAAATCGGGACAGGGCGTGGGGGGGGGGGGGAATAGGAGCCTATATAAGAAAAAGACCCCCAAATCAGGACTGTCCCTATAAAATCAGGACATCTGTCACCCTAGCCTAGGCCCAGACTACAATGGTGAGAAGTGAGGTTCTTACCCACGAAAGCTTATGCTCCCAATACTTCTGTTAGTCTTAAAGGTGCCACAGGACCCTCTGTTGCTCTTTCCATGGTTGTAGGCACTCCCTCTTCCTGATTGAGTTGCTAGGTCAAGGGAAGAATTCTTTAGTCAACCTAGCTGTGTCAATACTGGGGGTTAAGTCGGCATAGGTAGGGCATGCACAGGTGTGACATTTTCTCACACACCCCCCCCCAGTGCTGTAGCTATGTTGATGTAAGTTTTAAGTGTAGACTAGACCTTTAATTGCCCACTGCTTATGAAACGGGTTTTAAAAAGGAACAGCAGCCCTGTTCAGTTGCTGATTACTTAAGAGTATGTAGGTTCAAGGGTTCTATTTAGAGTGAGATGTCCGCCCTCTTAATGACCTAACTACATTCATCACCATTATACAAGGTTGTATTCTGCGTTTTCAGGTGACACGGTGACTCACTCCATTTTATGTTGCAGTCAAGATAAAAATACAGCTTTATGCAGCAGAGTGTTAGTAAGCAGTGAATGGTACTGTACCTCCACAGCAACCTGACTTCACATGGGATCACTTGCCCTTTAATAAGCCAGTATATGAATCTAAAATATTTGTATCTGCTTTGCAGTTCTCTTTTTGGTAGAGTCATTAAAAGTGGGACCATACAGAGGATGTTTTGATGGAGTTTAGCAACTGAATCTGAACTTGGGCAAAGATGAACTATGTATGCGTTCACCTACCCCAAGGTCTTTTGAGACTCAGGAAAGCATTTCGGTCCCATTATAATACCACCTCTTATACAGCGCTTTCCATCAGGAGATCTCAAAGCACTTGACAAGGTCAGTATAATGATCCCCATTTTACAGATGGGGAAACCAAGGCACAGAGAAGTGAAGTGACTTTTCCAGGGCACTAGCAAACCAGGGACAGAGCTAGGAATTGAACCCAGGTTTCCATATCTACTAGGCCAAACCTGTCTCCCTCATTAACAGAATTCTTTCCTGTCCCAGGGATAGGGAATGACACTGCGAGTCAGGAAATTTGGGTTCATTTCAGTGACTTAACCTCTCTCTACAACTCACCTTTGTAGCGCCCTGTTAGGTCTGTGGCTGAAAAGCCGCGTGTAAGTGCTAACTGAAGTGTGTTTAAATGTATATCCCCCTTTGGTGTGGAGTTTCTTTTAAATGGAATAAATATTACTCTTATTTTTTCATTGATGCTATTGAGAGATCCTTGCGGTTAGGAAGACAGACATAAGATGGACTGAGGAGATCTGAGAAGAGAATTTTGCCCATTCTATAGCAGAAGTTTGCCAGACTAAACTATTGTGGGAGTCTCCCTGTTTTTCTGCTTGGCTGGATGCGGTTTGTATCTATAGACAAGGCTTGAACAAGCACTAGGGTGACCAGATGTCCTGATTTTATAGGGACAGTCCTGATTTTGGGTCTTTTTCTTATATAGGCTCCTATTACCCCCCCTACCCCACACACACACCCTGTCCCGATTTTTCACATTTGCTGTCTGGTCACCCTAACAAGCACCCACACGGCTGGTGCAAGCCATATAGCTCTATCCGGTGAGACAAAAAGAGCTGGCAGGAGCTGCGTTGAGCCTATCTCAGCTGGAACAGTGCTTTTTGCACATCTTACAATAACACCAACAGGGCTCCTTAACCAGCTCTCTCCTCCCCTGCCAGATTGAAGCAGACTGTATACAAGATCTTAAGTCAATAAGAAAAGCACTGTTTAATCAGGGCAACCTTTTCCCTGCAGAAATCTGGACTCAGTTTTTACCGAAGCTTTTTGGGGTGGGTGTCGCTGTAAATCCACAATAATGCATCTGGGGTCTATTTTGTTTTTTGTACAGAGGGATTTGTCCATAAACAAGGGTGTATGCCCGCCTCTGCGTTGACATCTGAGAGCTAAGCCCTTTGCCCCATAAACCTGGCTGTAAACTTCCTCCTCCAATGAGGAAGGCCAGTTCATAACTCTTGCTAGCTGGGTACATGCTGCTAATTCCCTGGCATCTCTCAGCTCAGCAGAGAGGGGGGGTAAGGTTATGTGCTTCAGGACAAATTCAGGGCTCAAACATAGAGGCGCTCTCTCTGTGTGATCTCCACGTAGGAATCACTTCGCTGCTGAAGTGCAGCCACCTCTGGTGTGGAGGACAGCAGCTAGCACACAATGAGGAAGATAAAACTAGCATACAAAAGCACAAGGGTAAATTCCTTCTCTCTCTCTCTCGTAATGGGCTTTTAATGTAGATTTTATTAATATCTACGTACCTCTGTGGCTTCCATGATTTATTTATACTACAGTAGCACTTAGCAGCTGCATTCAGGATCCCATTGCTCTAACACACTGTCCATGCACAATGTATAGTATCTGAGTGCCTCACAAAACAGCAATTCGTTTATTCTCATAAATCCCCCCGTGAGGAAGGGAAACAACCTCTTTGTGCCTCAATTCCCCATCTGTAAAATGGGCATAAGTGACTTGCCCAAGGTCAACCAGAGGGAGTTTGTGGTAAAGCAAGGAACTAAATGTAGATCTCTCAAGTCTGCAGTCCAATGCCTTAACCACAAGACTATCTTTCCTCCACTGCTCTGCTCCTTTGGAAAGATTAAGAACTGAATAGGACCCTTCTGGGCTATGAATGCAGGGAGTGAAAGAGTTGCAGATCTGGCTGTCCTTGGGGAGGTAGTGCAGTAACAAGCTTTTCCCCATCGCCGCAGTATTGGCCTAGTGGCGGGTTCCGGTTGGGCGCATAGCCCGGCTTCTGGCACGTTTGGGCTGGGAATGTTTTGACATGGTTGCTGGGGGTTTAATCCTCCCAGGCAGGCTGCTGGTGAAGGCGTCAGCTGTTTTGTTCTGTTTTTTCCCCTCCAGCAGCTGGCGGGGGACAGAAGTGAAACTAAGAGCTGCAGGGCCCTCTGCCCTAGCCGGGCTGTTTCCCGGAGAAGGCACTCAGCCTCCAGGTGCTTCCTGCACTGTCTTTGTTTTCTGATTGGGCTTGGGGGGGAAGGGAGCTCTCTATTTTGGCGCTGCAGAGACCAATCAGGCAGCAGCGTGGGTGAAGCTGTGAGCTCTTGTATCTGGGGAAACGTGGCTGCGGCCTGAAGCCGACTTGTAACACCTGCCTCCCCGAGCCATGGAGGCGGAGAGGAGAGGAAGCCTGGTGCAGGCTCAGCGCTCCTCATTTGCCCACAGGCGCTCAGGAGTGGGTGGTGTTTTACCGGGAGATTCCAGGATCAGAAAAGTGCATGAATCACACTGCCTGTCTCCTCGAGAATAGATTCCAGAATCAGATAGGGAGGCAGATCAGCAGAATCCCAGTGCGTACGCTATGCCTTGTGCCACTAGTGTGGGTGGGCAAAGCCCCTGTTTGCACCAAGAGAGCTTTCTCCGACTGGAAACGGAGGTGTCGACTGCTCTGGTGCATATAGCAGCTTTGTATAGTTCCAGTAGGAGGTGACTGGAATCAGGGCAAATGCCAAGGGTGGGCAAGGGCTGTGTTGTAGTCATAGAGTTCAAGGTGGAAAGGGATCAGCTAGCCTGACCTCCTGGACGTCACAGACCACCAGGTAGTTCCTGTACAATGCATACCAATAGTGCTGGCTTCCCCCAGTTTCCTTGCGGGGCCCAAATATGCTCAGCATTGAGAGCGTGCAAATTGATGCCCCCCCATGACTGGTAGAGATGGGTCCTGAACCAAATTTCATCACAGTTGGAACAAGCTCGGACTGTGACCCAGACTTTGCATCTGGTCCCCTATCTACAATGGACCTAACCAAACCCCTCACTCACTTGAACGTTGACAGAAGGCCAGATCCAGGTGTTGACTTGGCACTTGGGGTCATGTCTATTCTTACAAATCCTTTGAGTTTTACAGTGCTTATAAAGGCTTCCTTGGCCCCAGTCTCCCACTGCGCCTCTCCCTAAGTGATCCTCCATTCAGTGCCATTTTGTAAGCTAGCGGCTGGATGTCTACTCTAGTGTGCGTACACACAGTGAGCTTGAGTAGGTCAAAGCCAAATGGCCAACCCAGAGTGTAAGCTCTTTGGGGCAGGGACCATCATTTTGTTCTGTGTTTGTACAGCACCTAGCACAGTGGGGTCCCGGCCCATGACTAGGGCTGCTCGGTGCTACCGTGACACGCAAAATAACTAATTTGTTTCAAGTTTTTAGTTTTGGCTCTAGAGAAACCTTGCTATGAGTGAAGTTGAGCTGTGGAAAATATGACTTGAAGAGGGTCAGCTATATTTATGCAGATACAAGCATATGTGTACACATACACACCAGAGATGCACACCCACGCACCCCGTTCTCTTCTACATGCTAATGTAAATGCTTTGTGTTCTTTCTCGGTTCTTTCCTTGGGCTTGGTCTAGCTGGAAGAATTCCAAGACCAGAACTGAACAGACTGAAGCGTTGTTTAATGCTAACAAAAAGTCCCCCATGAACAACCGCAAAACCTTCCAGCCACTGAACAGCACAGCACCTTCCTTCAGCTCATTGTCTGCTCGCTTCCTTTCACACAGCCACACGAGGTGGAGAGCACACAACACGCGCTGTGGCCGGAGGCTCTGAGATGTGCAAGCTCTCTCTTGTTTATTAAAAAAACAAAATTAAAAACGGGGAGGAAAAAATATAATAAATGTCCCCGGGTCGGAAGAAAGTAGGCAACTGTCTCCATTACGCTTCCTGAAACACGGGCACGTCCCACAGAGAACAATGAAGCCGGGAGGCGTCCTTCTCCCTTGTGTCACTCGATGCCTCGGCCCGTGTGAAGGAGGCAGAATGGTACTAAGTGACGTTCCCCCTCCGAACAGAAGGACACACTCAAAAAGCTGATGACAAACCTGGCTCAGTGGTGGGCCAGGGCTGGGCTCAGAGAGCAGCATTCCTGCTCAGGCTAGGAGGGCTCTGAGGGGCAGAAAGCGTCTCTCACTTTGTGTACAAATCTCCTGATTTGTGCCTAGCGCCCGATCTCGGCTCAGGCCTCTCTAATATAGACAATAGAGGCTGGTGACACACACCCATATCATATATGAGAATGTCTCTTTCCCTTCCCACCCTTTTTTCCTGTTTAGATTGTAAGCTCTTTGGGTCAGGGACTGTCTCTCCCTATGTGTCTGTACGGCGCCTTGCTCAATGGGGCCCTGATCCCAGCTGGGGTCTCTTAGTGCTACCATAATACACATAATAAACAATAATCCTTCTATTCGCCACCAAAAAATAGGCATGTGTAAGTGTGCGGGAGATCCTGTAAAGTGAAAAAAGAACAGGAGTACTTGTGGCACCTTAGAGACTAACACATTTATTAGAGCATAAGCTTTCGTGGGCTACTGCCCACTTCTTCGGATGCATATCAAAGTGATATGTAAAGTGTAATACTGTAAAGTGAGTATTTGAGGTCCATGGAAAAGAAACACTTGGATAGACCCAGAGTGTTCTCCGTAGAACGTTCAAAGGGTGACGGGCGTGCGCTGGCAGAGCGCACAAAGGCTGTGAGCGCGTGGTCAAGGGAGTCCCAAGAGACCGACAGATGGGCTCCCTTGGGAGTGACTCTCAGTTTCTTTTTTGTCTCCCTCTGAGTGCCCTGACAGCACAATTCCCGCTCCCCCTCCCCAAGCGCTCCTCCGGGGCCCGTCTGCGGCATTCTCATTTATGACCTGTTGTGGGATAAAAGTGGTTCGTTTGCGGCGGCACGCAACCAGTGCTCGGGGGCAACTGTTGCCATCTGTCTAGTGGGGGATGTTGCGAGGCGTGGGGGGAGCTGGGAAGGGTGGCGGTGGCGGGGAGCGGGAGGTTATGTTTTGTGTCTCCTTTCAGGCAATGCTAAGCTTGCACCTTTTGTTTCTCACGGGGCTGGGGGGAGCTTGGGAGAAAAGTGGCCTCTCTTTGTTTGTTCATTACACAGGTCAGGGCAGAACTTGCATCTCTAGCCGGGGGGATTTGCATGCTGATTCCCTATTCGGAGGAATCTGTCAAAGCTGAACAACCTAATGGCAACCCCCCGCCCACACCCACCCCGTACCCTACCCCAAATAGCCCTCTGTGGGAGAGGGAGTAGTCCGGGCATGTCCCACGCTGAGCCAGCCTGATAGGGAAAGCAGCTCTCTGATCCTATCTCTGTCTCTTTCCTGCAGTGATTGCGGCTGTGGGGGCTGCAAATGATGGATGGACTCTGCACCTCCCCTCCCATGAGGAGTGCTGTGTTTATGGAGTTATTCCTCCACCCGCCCCCTGCCTTGCCCTCTTTCATGGTTGGGAGGGAGTGGGATAGGAGGGGGGAAGGGGAGAAATGTAGCCTAAACAGCTGCATTGCTGGACTAGACCAGCCCTGATCATGCTGGCTGCTTTCTCTCCTCGCGGGGAATGTCAAGGGGACAGGACATACAGGAGACCTGCACAGATCAGCCCACGGCTTTCATTCACCTGGGCTGTGCGGGGTCACAGGCGCAGCGAATCATTCAGAGAGCTCCGAGGTGGGTTGGCCAGTGGTGATAGTGGAGAGAAAGTGGCTGAAGCATAAGTAGCCTGCATTCACCCCACAGGGTGTTCTAGATCTGCCTCTCTTACAATAAGAAGAACAGGAGTACTTGTGGCACCTTAGAGACTAACAAATTTATTAGAGCATAAGCTTTCGTGGACTACAGCCCACTTCTTCT